TGTAGTCCCAGCTACTTGGGAGGCTGAGGCAGGAGGATCACTTGAGCCCAGGAGTTTGAGATTGCTGTGAGCTAGGCTGCTGCCACGGCACTCTAGCCTGGGCAACACAGTGAGACTCTGTCTCAAAAAAAAAAAAAAGAAGTTATAACCATATCCCTTTCTTATTATTGATTGAATTCTACTTCCTATTAGGTTTATCTTTGCCTATGGGTATGAATTTTATGAAAATGAATTGAGTTCAATATATATATTTCCATACTCCAGCTTGGGTGTCAGATTCACATTGCTTTCAAAATATATTCTTAATGGCTTCAGTGTTAGAATCCCATTAAATTAGTGATATCTGCATAGAATAATTGAAGTAGGAAGAGAGTGTAAATTCTTCACATTTCCAAATCTGCAGTATCACAGAACCTTATTTAGAGTGGTTGGAATCTTAGAGGTAGTTGGTCCAAATTGTAATTTTAATTTAGGAATTTTTAACTCTCAACTTGCTGCTGCTGTACTGCCCAGTTGCCTGAGAGCCAATGTATATACTTAGTGATAACTTGAATAATTTGTAGTAAATTTATAAGCTGAATATTTATGGTATTATGCAGACTTCTTCATCTATAAATAGAGTTCTCTTATCCCTTTGATGTGGTGTGGAATTAGAAAAATTATTTTTATCCATAAACATTTTAGGTTTTCTAGGTCATTACTAACACTCTTATAATGATTACTGCTGTACAAAAAGTTGGCATTTTGAAGGCCTCTTCATATGTAATTAATCAGAAGTGTTAATAAATACTTTGTTTGGTGTTTATAATAATAGAAGCTGCTAATTTTAGGCAATAAGTAAGCATTCTCATTTGGAAGACAATTTCATTTGAATACCAGTGACTTTCAGGGTTTTTTGTTTTGTTCTGTTTTCCTTCCCAAGGCTATGAAAGGAGAGAAGGGAATTGGTGGAGCAGTCACAGCTACAGATGGGCTAAGCGAAGAGCTCACAGAGGAGGCATTTAGTAAGTGGTGTCATGGTACAAGTTGTGTAGAGTATTAGCACTGATTCATACTAAATGTCTATAGTGGTATTTTTGAAATATCAGCGCTGAGTTATTTGACATAGCACTATTATTTTATTTTTATTTATTTGGTTTTTTTTGAGACAGTCTCACTCTGTCACCGTGGGTAGAGAGTGCAGTGGCGTGATCATAGCTCACTGCAACCTCAAACTTCTGGGCTCAAGTGATCCCCTGCCTTGGCCTCACAGAGTGTGAGGCTTACAGGTGTGAGGCGCCGTGCCCGGCCTGACATAGCATTATTGTAAATAGTTCTTTGTTACTTCACGCCCTTATATTTAAAGTCAGTGAGTGATAAGTATAAAACATTTTAATTCTGCAAACATTAGAACCTTTCACCGATAGTTCTAATTTCCATAGCCCTTAGTTTTTGGTGAAGATTCATGTGAGATAGGAATATTGAGAATTGTAGTTTGTAATATAAAATATCTTGTGATTTAAATAAATTTGAACTCAAGGTTTCTTTTTCTGCAGATTTATACACATGAGCAATTAGCTAAAGTACACTTTAGAGATATGAAAATGCGAAAAATTAGAAAATTCAATAGAAAAAAATGTGCTTTTTAGGGAAGTTTTTTAAAAATGGAAAATTGGCGGGGGAGGGGGGGTTGTGATTACATCATTGATAAGTGGCAGGCTTATAATGAGACATTAATAGCCCAGCCTTAAGGTTCTGCCCAAGAAAGTAGATGTAGTTCTTTTCCTGCTTTAACTTTTTTTTTGTCTTTTAGCTAACCAGTTACCAGCTGGCTTAATAACCACAGATGGTCAACAACAAAATGTTATGGTTTACACGACATCATATCAACAGGTACTGTACCTTCTTTGTATTTTAAACTATCTTAAAATTTGATTATATCCATTGATTTTTATCACAGGTAGTTAATTTCAACACATTATTAAGGACCTGATAGAATAAGATTATTAAAAATTTCTATTTTCTCAAAATATACAACTGTGTATAATATTCTCTTAATAGTTAAAAATATATACACGCATTTATATTTGTATAAAAGACTTACAGAAAGATGAAGACATTTTTAAAGTAGCTCCGTTGGGTAGAAGGATTGGAGATCTGGGGTGGGAAGTAGCCTTATTTTTCATTGTCTATTGTTTTCATTCACTGAATGTTTATAACCTACATATGTTACTTTTAACCTATTTCTTTCTTTAATCCTGCTGAATTTAAATTTTCTAATCTTAGATTTCTGGTGTTCAACAAATTCAGTTTTCATGATCTGAAGAAATGGAATGGAGAGTGTGGAGAAGTGAGAGTCTGTATGATTCTGGAGCAGAGACATCAGAAGGAAATGACTGGTGAAAAGATGTCTCTTTGTACATTAATAGCTGTAATGTAGCTTCCTGATGCTTGACTAATTGAGGTGTTAATTCTGACTTGAGAATCCTTTTCATGAATGATTTTAAAGAAAAATTTGGATTTTAAAGGTATTAAAATATTTTTGTTTTGTACGAGAGTTTGTTGCTCTGTATGACTCCTGTATGCATTGTATATTGCAATTTATTACTGTCAGAGATTTGTAGACAGTTTCTTATTTTCATATTGAATCATGTTACTTTTGTAATTCAAGTAAGCAGCTGGGTTAATTCATGACGTTTGCCCTTTTAATAAAATATAAGGATAGAGTTCATTTTGAATGCAAGTTGCCTTTATTATAAATTTGAGTTTGTCTTGGTTATGTATCTTGCATGATAACCTAACTAGATTTTTAGCATTTGCCATATTTATTAAAAAACATTTTTTTTTTTT